AAAGGTGCACTACACACTCAACATACATCTAGAGAAACAACACAACAGGGTTTAACAACAGACACGCAAGAAGGATCCACCTTCACATAGAATGGACATAAAGAGCTTATCAAGCATAATGAAAACACAGATAATGAAACATACCGTGTCTCCCTTTATACCCAAAGAACCAAGATATAAGCGGAAAATCCGAACAGTTGAATTTGATATCAAGATCTCCAAGGTTCCATTTCCAGATGCACAGCTGAAAAACAGAGAGCTATGTGACTGATTAGTTCAGATTAATGATGGAAAGAGGGTGGTGTGACATGGAGTACATGAAGCACGAGAAGAGGTGCTATTAAATCTGCCAAATTATCTTAATGTAAGATTCCACCCATTATATCACAAAAACGACTATTAGTAAGAATGAGAAGTGCCCAAAATCTTTTGCTTTTTTCAACTACTACGCTTAGTACAGAAGACTCTACCGGCGGTGAACCGCGCAAACGCGGCAGACGCGTCTCGGCGGCCATAGGACCCTCTCCTGGAGGGTGGAACTCGAGCCAGAAAGACACTACACCAAATGTCTTCACTTCTTCAGGAATGGAGATCTTAAAAGCTGGACCTTTAGCTTGTTGACCGGGAATCCGGCAGGCGAGTGGCAGGATGAGAGTGGCCACACGGCTTATAGTGGTGTTGGGATTGATGCTGCGTAAAGTGTTGGTGTACACCAATTCTGATCCTAAATGCTGGAAAATATCAAAGAACAGATAACAATCAAATGAAATGAAAACGAAAGCACAGAAGATGGGACAACATTTAAAAGAAGCAGCATTCACACCTCATGTTGTTCAATGACTTTCTTCACCATCATTCTTTTTGTAGATGACATTATTTTTCATTTGTGAGTTTACTCCAAGAAATATATATATTGTTTCTTAATATGTTTTCTTCTATCATTTTTATGATGTCTTTGGCTGTTTTAACATATATGCGGTTTTGATTGGTCCATCTACATTTTAATGCTATTTTAATCTATTTGTACACACAGACTACTTTTGTGATATAATGTAATGAGTATTACATTCAGTTATTTGTGCAATAAATGTTCATAATTTAAGAAATTACATTATGAACTCACCAAAAAATTATAATATTTCCAAAATAAAAGAATAGTATCCTTTAGTACATTTCAGGTTATAAATGTATTAATGAACTTCATTATCTGTCATTTCAGTGTACTTACAAAGATAAATGTTTAAAGAAAAAAATAATAGAACAACCTTACGTTGCTGCTAGAAATACAAAGGCACTAATGACTGCATGTATCTCTCGATGAGAAGGTTTCATACCATCCTCTTGGTTCCGCAGCCCGTCAGAGGGAAGGTGGCGGTGACGTGGGTCGAGTTATAAAACACTGGGCAGGTCGGATCATTCAGCTGGAGAGCAGAGAAATGCAGATTCTCCAGGAAGGTAATGGGCAGCACTAGAGACATCTGAAGCTCGCGCTCCTTACATTTCAACTCTGACAGAAAAATACACATGAAATGAGGGTGAGACAAACTTATGACGAGTGAGACTTTAAAGACTTTTTTTTTTTACTTTTTTTCTGCGCTTTAACTAGTCATGATGGTTTTGAACTAACAGAGGCACAGTGTTTTTGGTGTCATAGTTTTATGTAAGTTTAGGTTTTTTGATTCTCTTCAAATAAAATGCTGCATTTTACATGAGAAAGGAAACTGTGCACAAGAATTAATATAAAATCAACCCAATACCTTTGGATTGTAATGGTGACTATAGATGATTAAATATATACAAGGAACACAAAATAAAGTATAATTCAGAAAGTAAACAGATGTAAGAAAAATCATCAATCCACTATGATCTGGACGATGATATCACTTAATCATCAATGAACTTTAACTGAAAAAAATGACTGTTTGTTATTGTCCTCTTCCATTATTGACAAACTATGTTCCAGTTTGTCACTGTACAGCTGCTTTGACACAATCAGTATTATATAAAGCGCTATAGAAATAAAGATTACTTGACTTGACTTGATTATGCAAACAGTGACATAATTTGCATCCAAATTATTAATCAGTATGACTCATAATAATATGATACTAATAATATGAGTCAGGGGAGATTTCAAAACATTAATCTTATATTTCTTACAAATGAACACAAATGAAAAACAGGCCGCATTACACAACACATCTGGTCTTTGATTTGTAAAATCACTGTAAAGCACAGTGTTTTGAGGCTTTTTGCTTAAACTGCTGCACCATCACAACTAGGCTCTAGAAAATGCATTACATTAAAAAACATGCTTGAGACAGTCAAGGGAAAATGTGGATTTCCATTCATATACTCTGACAGAAGCCAGAGGACCTAACAAATAAAATAATTTACAGGATAAAGACAGTAAGAGGAGACCGACTGTGATCAAACTGCACGCGACGTGTGTTCCTGCAGAGCATTACTGTGATTTTATTCGTCTTTATTATCTTTATTTAAATTTTTGATCTAGAGATTTAAACTATATTCAGTATATAGCCTACAGTGATTAACACATTTATTAAAACACATTTATGTAAGGTTTTTAACCAATTTTGTAAGGTTTGTGCCACCGCTGCTCTTCACTAACAGTATTGGTAATTACCAAAATCATTTTTTAGCTTTCTGTAGAGTTTAGTCCTCCAATATGCGCAAGCTCTTTAGTAACAGTAGTAGGCTATTTCTAATGCTATAATATAATTATTGCTGTTATCTGTGGGAGAAAGGCAGAAAAAATAGTCAAGTGCTTAATAGCATTTTTTTATTCAGATAGTACATAAACAATGCCAGCAAGCATGCAAGCTGTTATCAAAGGCAAAGGAGGCCATGTTTGTTATTATGTGAATAAATACTATTTAGTTGTTTCGGTTTGTTATTTGCCCAATAAATGACAATAACATTTTTAGATTTAAACAATTTTTTGACAGATTCCTAAAATATTTGTGTTTTCTCTATTATGACAGGTGGTCTAATAAATTGTTAAAGGGGTCATATGATGCGATGAATTTTTCCTTTCTCTTTGGGGTGTTACAAGCTCTTGGGGCCGGTTGCACCAGCTGGACGTACACCCGGTTGTAAGACTAGGCTGGACGTAAATTGTGCATTAAGTCGTGCGTAGAATTTATACCCGTTGCCCCATCTCGGCGTAGTGCTACGTCTGACATTAAATCTTATGCCTAGTCAGAGGTAGGTGTAAAGTGAAAAGTCATGATTTGCTTGGACATTATTCGTTTTTAGGATTCATGTCTGTTAGTTAATTATTACTGCAGACGTGAACTATAATGTTTATGGTCTTTTCGGGCAGGATAAGCGATATCAATCGCGAAGCTCGGTGTAGACTATACCACACTGCCGACAGTAATTGACCTAATAAAAACTATATTTCTGTACAGCATGTAATTATGCAGTAAAATATTACATATAATCTGGGATTATTAAAAGAAACTGTACCATTCGACATCTTGCTTGGAAGGACGGTATAAATGCTTGGAAATATTTCACGTCTTTAATTCCATTCATTATTTGTAGTGTGCCTTGCCTGCCATCCAATAATCGCAGTAAGTTTTGTGCTTTGTTACTTTTAATTAGAAATAAAGTATCAGCTTTCAAATTCTGTCGGTTTTATCACAAAATACAAACTATAAATGTGTTTTTTCAGCCACAGAAAGACGTCAGTAAAACAATTTCACGTAAAGTCACATTTACCTCAGGAAAGACATTCATTGTACATAAACTCGATAGTCAGCTATAAAAAATAACTCTAGAGAGAAGCATTGTATTACATTTATTATATTTTACTTAACCTTGATGAAATCTGTCTTGGGAATGTGCAGGGAGACTTCAGATATAAAAACGCGGACTTGTTAGAAAATGTTTACTTAATTAAATCATGGCGCGGTGGCTTCACTTGTTATGTCTTAAGCAATTCAGTTCTATATTAGTAGTTGTAGCCATTGCAGCGTGAAGTCGTCTCAGCCATCAGCGCGGGAGAATGTGTCAGCGTGGACGCGCATTGTCTACGCTGGGCTTAGTCGCGCCTGATCGTAGTTTCAGTTGGTGCAACAGGCTTTATAAAAGTTAAGAGTCAGCCACACCAACCTAAAACATCTCGTTCTAACACACCCCGACATGTCTACTTCACAGTATGTGAGGGGCGTAACATTTCCATCACACGCTTGAGGTATTCGGCCAATCACAACGCACTGGATAGCTGGCCAATCACAGCACACCTCGCTTTTCAGACCGATGAGCTTTGTAAAAATCGACGCGTTTCAGAAAGGCGGGGCATAGAGGAGAAACAATAATGTACAGTATGTGGAAAATAATGTGTTTTTTTATTTTAAACCGCATAAACATCTCATTACACCAAATACACAAAATAATGTTCTTTTTAGCAACGTCATATGACCCCTTTAAGCACTGCATGTTTTCATAGCATTCAGTCGGCACATTTGTTTGAAGGACATTGGGCAGAATGTGGAATAGTGTGTTTTTGTCAATAACATTAAAATAATCTGATTAATCGATTAACCGGAAAAATAATCGGCCAACTAATCGATTATCAAAACAACCGTTAGTTGCAGCCCTAGTACAAACACTGAAGCGGTGACTCTCTGCTTCGCACGAGCCTCGTGCACTCGAGACAGTGTTCAGAAGCTCCACACAAACTACATCCAGCTTCAATCACTTAGGGTTAACGCTTATAACTAGGGCTGGGAAAAATAAGCATATACATATTTGTGCTGTTGCACTACTTTTCCTAAAGTAAACGTCAACTCTTTGCGGTCACTTTGTTGAACATTTTTGCCTGTATGGAGGTTAGATTGACTGATTTGGGCTGCTGCCTTGAACCTGAGCAGGCGAGCACTCAATGATACGCCCGGCGTGTGATATCGGTCCTACTCGAGACGCTTCACATCACAACACACATGAAGAGAGATACAAGACGCTAAAGGTTTCTCTCAGAGAACATGCCTGGATCCTCATGGGGCTCGTAGTTTTTGCTGTCTGTGTTTTCTTTGTACCAGTCCAGGATATGAGAACATGCCTGGATCCTCATGTGGCTCGTAGTTTTTGCTGTCTGTGTTTTCTTTGTACCAGTCCAGGATATGCCCCACGAAGGGCGAGATGAGGGTGATGCGAGCCTCAGCACACGCGATGGCCTGAGCGAACGAGAACAGCAGAGTCATGTTGCAGTGGATCTCGTCCTTCTCCTCCAACTCTCTGATGAAAAGCCAAACACACAGGCGTCAGCAGAGCAGCTCTCGCTCGGTTTATTAATAACAGTTGCATATGAAGAAATCCGCTTCACATCGTGTTTGTGGTGAACAATATCTTTTTCATTTTAATGAAACTGACTGTAGTGAACACACTCACTGTCCGGCCTGAATGCCCTCCCACGTGGAGGAGAGTTTGATGAGGATGTACTCCTTACGGACTCCTGCCTCCTCATAGAGAGAGATGAGCCTCCGGGCGCGAGACACCATCGCCTCTTTATCAAAGGACAGCCTGGAATCACACCACATCTGTCAGCAGGACACATCTCTCACACACTCTGATCAAAGGCATGTTTGTATGTTTTAGTCTTGCTTTTGCATATGTGTGTGTTGATGGGTAAAACTCTGGTTCAGACTGCAGCACAGTATGTGGCAATTATAAAGAAGTATAATATTCTCCTGTAAAGAAGAAAAGCAGCAGCAAGCGGCCTGTCACCAGACACAAGGCCTGCTCTCATTGCTTCAGCTCCATCTCTTTAGGATGAAGAAATGAGGAAGGAGGATTCGAAAGAGAACTTATTTGTGAATGGAATATTCTTGATCACTCAAGAGCAGTGTTGGGCAAGTTACTCTGAAAATGTAATTAAATTACTGATTACTCCTTTTAAAAGTAATTACGTTACTGTTCTGATTACTTTATTTCAAAAGTAATTAGTAATTAGTTACATTACTAGTTACGTTAATTTTTTCTCCATGAAATTTATGAAATTCCAGCATACACGCTCCCAATAAATATTTGTTATTAAAGCATCAACATTCACAGAACACTGTTATTTTTAACTAAAGCAAGCGGCTGCTGGTGCATGGTTTGGCAGAATACCAGCAAAGAGCGCTGCATTTATAATCTCTAAAAGACATCGCAGTTCATCGCAATCTCACAAATCTCTGTTATAACACAATAAATACTGTATATGCATAATGAATCATTCATAATGTCTACAATTCGTGTTATAATAAGAGGATTCGTGAGCACGCAAATTTCGGCACTGCATTGCTCAACGCTTTTATACGCGTTTATAGCCTAAATAGAAACTCTGCATACGCTTGCACCTGTTAATCGTTTATTTATATTAGTTCATGTTGCTTTTGTGCAATAGATGAATAACAATTTATTTGTTTTAGATATTTTATGTTTAGATATTTCTATTTTGCAGGAGTCCCGTGAATCATTTTATTCTCCCGCATCCCCCACTCACGAGTGTCTAGTAATGTGGTCTTGGATGCCCGAAATAGGTGTTGCAAATATGGTGGCCGAGTGAACAGACTTTCCTTGAAAGGGACTTTGGCAGAGCTGTGGCCCTCCAGGAATTGAGACCAATGTTTTAAATTAATGATAATTAATTACACAATTTTGAAAGAAATGCAAATAGAATTTGCAATTCACAAATACATTTTTAGAGTAACTGGTATTAGTTATAGACACAAGCAGGTTACTGAAATTAATATCAAGTCACATTAACTAAAATCTCTGAAGAATAAATTAATATTTCTAAAGTTTCTGAATCTTAAAGAAAATGACTATATTTTAACTGCTATAAGAAACACACATTAACTCATTTGAGCTTAGTAATTAGTACTGTGTCTAGCTTACATTTGATTTACCTATTACAATAGTCCACTTACAGTTACTGCTATCATAAAAATACACTTTATATGTAGGTTTAAAATTCTAAAAAAAAAAACATTTAATGTCCAAAAACTGCAATGAATTGCAATGAAATGAAAAATGCAGAATTATTGCGCTCCTATTCGATTGCGCTCCATCTGTTTAGCGCACATGCGCGCAGATGCTCTCGTTGCTCTTGCATGCCTCGCCCACTCCAAAATGGATATGTTTGCATGACTTTCTAACATTTACAGATTAAAAATATACCTGTGAAATGTCAGTTATGCACTGAGGAAAACACAGTCTCAAATGCATTAAACAGCACAGATATATTCGCTGTTTGTCATGGTGTAAACGTGTAAAAGCAGTAAACAATGTAGGTTTGATTTAGTTTATACAGTTCTATGCTTTCAAATGGATGAATATTTTGGAGGGGGCTCTGCCCCACCTACCCTTACGAAAAAGTATACTTCCACTTCATTTTATGAAGTATACTTAAGTAATGTTGAAGTATATTTTAAGTTTACTTCAAGTAGTAAGTATACTAACATCTATGTACTAGTAGTATACTTGTAAGTGTACTATTTGAATTCCGATTGGGACTAAATTGGCCCACTTTTTAGTATAACAGTAAGTATAACAGTAGAAAACTTTGCACAACTAGTTCACAATTACATTTTCATTTGTACTGCAAGTGAACTTATGAGTATACTAGTAGTTTACTATTTTAATACTTGTAATAAATGACTAGATTATAAAAGTACACTTTGACGTATACTCACTAAACTACAAGTTTACTAGTTTTATACTGCAAGTATACTTGCAAGTGTTCTGTTAGTGCACTCTTAGTTAAATAGTAGTTTACTATTTTTGTACTGCTGGTATACTTGCAAGTGTTCTTAATGTACTCTTAGTTAACTAGTAGTTTACTAGTCTTATACTGCAAGTGTACATGCAAGTGTTCTGATAGTGTACTCTTAGTAAACTAGTAGGTTACTACTACAACATCATACTTAGTTTACTTATTATTTTTGCACTTTAAGTACATTGCAATGTTCATTTACCTATTAATTTTTATACTTGACATATACCTTTTAATTGTACTTTAAATTTAAGTAAAATCTTATGTACGCTATCAGTGGACTACACAAAAAATCACATACTCAGAATTATGAACATAAGCGAGAGCAAACCTGAGATTGTTGTCTTTGGACCCCCAGGTGCTGTCTCTGATATCACTATTAATCTAGATTCT